GCCACCTTAGGTGTATGTGGCTGGCGCCTTAGCCGCTTGAGCCACAGGCGCCGAGCCTACAGGTGTTGTTGTGGGCACCTGTAGTCTCAGGTACTTGGGAGGCTGAGACAAGAGGATCACTTGAGAATAAAGAGAATCATTCTATTTCCCTACTGGGTAGAATGCCATGGCATCATAACTCATAGCAACCTCAAACTCTTGGGCTTGAGCAATCCTCTTGCCTCAGCCTCCTGAGTAGCTGGAACTATAGGCTTGCACCACTACACCCACCTAGTTTTTCTATTTTTTTAGTAGACAGGATCTTGTTCTTGCTCAGGCTGTTCTTGAACTCTTGGGCTCAAGCAATCCCCCCCTACTTCTGCCCCCTCTCAGAGTGCTAGGATTACAGGTGTGAGCCTCAGTGCCAGGCCTTCAAAAGGCTTTTAGATGCTCACTGAAGTATAATATAGACGCTGATGAAGCAAAAGGATTAGGTAACTTGCTCAGGGCGACATAGTTTAGTAAACAGCAGACCTGGGATTCTGATTATGGTTTATGTAATTCTGTAGCTAATCCTCTTCCCACTACCACTTTGTAACTAGTCGTAATAATCTTCAGCCAGTTTCGTTAAGCCCTCTAGGCCTCTGATTCCTCATATTTAAATGGAGACAATAGATATTATAGAGTTCATTAACCTCTTGTGTTTAAGGTGTGCAAATAATGGAGACTGCAGCTCCTCTCTTCTTTCCTCTTCTCATTCTATGTAGGCCATTTATCTTTTTTTTTTTTTAATTTTTAGACAGTCTCATACCGCCCACCCTGAGTAGAGTGCCGTGCCGTCATAGCTCACAGCAACCTCAAACTCTTGGGCTTGAGCAATCCTCTTGCCTCAGCCTCCCAAGTAGCTGGGACGGTAGGCACTCGCCACAACGCCCGGCTAGTTTTTCTCTTAATAGAGATGGGGTCTCGCCCTTACTCAGGCTATCAAGCAATCCGCAGCTTACTCAGGGTATCAAGCAATCCGCAGCTTTGGCCTCCCAGCGTGCTAGGATTACAGGCGTGAGCCACCGCGCCTCGCCCAAAGCCATTTATCCTTAACTTCTAAAGTTGACCCTACAAGCAATTATGCAAGCAGACGCAGCAGCAGGAAAATTATTACTCGATTTCCCCCTTATTTCCTCTTCCTTCTACGTCCACCTAGTCTCCCGCCCCACCCAGCGCCAGGCCACGCCCCAGCGTGTGACGCAAGCGCGCCCCGTGCGTTGCGTCGCGGCGCTCACTGGGGGCCCGGCTTTCGCCCGCTGCTGCCGCCGCCGCCGCCGGCCGCGGCTGCTCTCCCAAGATGGCGGCTCCTCCGGGTGAGTACTTCAGCGTTGGGAGCCAGGTGTCGTGCCGGACGTGCCAGGAGCAGCGGCTGCAGGGCGAGGTGGTAGCCTTCGACTACCAGTCCAAAATGCTGGCTTTAAGTATCCTTTCCTGCGTGGAGCCTGAGGCCGGACTGGCGTGTAGGTGCGGTGGTGGTGGGGGTGGTGGGGGACGACGGCGGCGGCTGGGGCCCTCTCCGGGCCTAGGGGCGACCGGCTACCGTGGCGCCCGGGGCGCATGCGCACGGCCCTGAGCTCCCCTCCCCCTCCCGCGGACCCTTCGGGCAGCTTTGGGGACCCTGTCTTTTACCCCTTATTGGAACTGGTCCCCTACCGATGGTTGCTGGGTGGAGGGGGGCTTGACACGCGGGTGGCTTTTCAGGGGAAACACTTTTAAGATGAGACACAGTGATTAGGGGAGGGGGTGATGGCAGGAAGGGGGCTGGTCAATTGAGCCCGGATGGAAAAGTGGGCAGAGAAAATCTTATGGGGAGTGGGTGTGTAGGGTAGGGAACTGCTGATACGGCCAGGGTCTGCAATTCAGGAGGGGTGCCTACTGATAGGATTTGACCCAAGAAAGGGCTGTGGGGTAGTGACTAAATGAGTCTTGCCTATTTTAGGGAAGAGTAACTGTAGGGCAGAGTTTGTGCCTGAACTCGGGATAGTAGCTTCTTTTTCTCTTCTGATACGTGTGTATGTGTGGGGCTGTGTGTGGTGCTGAGTGTGGTGAGGGGACTGATTTTTGGGGTTCTCAGTCATTTGGAAATTACTGTTTTGGGGATGTTTGCACTGGAAACCTGGTCCAGAGAGGGTTTGCCACGTTTTTCGGGGGCTTATGTAGGAATGTGTGGTATACAGGTGAAAGGATAAGTTTTCATTTGCTTTTAGTACAGGACATGGAGTTCTGAGTTTTCCATACTAGTAGACTCACATTTGAAAATAGCAGTGTTAAACTGAATAGAAAATGTGGCCTCCTCCTTTGGGTAGCAGTGATTTCTAAATTACTCCAGGAAACTCAATCTTGGAAATAAAACACTTCCTCGGTAGAATAAACATGCCCCTGCTTCCTCTCATATTTGAGCTACAGGTGGGTTTGTTTAGAGTTTTGGGAGAAGTAATCCTTTTTGGCATCTTTCAAAGTGTAGTTTCCCATTGAGTCTGCTGCCTTTTGAGTGGTAAGTATTTCATTTAAGTAATAGTTATCGATTTCTAATTTAGGAATATGTCCTCTGAAACTAATTGCCGCAAGAATGTTGCTGCTTTTTCCCCCTTAAATAAGAGGTTATACCTAGAGGAAATAAGACCTTTTACATTAGTGGTTTAGTTGAAAGGGTCTTGGAAATAGGGATTATTCTACTTTTAATTGGCATACAATAGCCTCTTATTTAGTATAAATAAATGGTTGGAGAATGAGTGAGTGAATGAATGGACTACTTAGCCAGGTCACCTTGAGTGAATTTTCTTTCTAATGCTGCAGTTTTCTCCTCTGCAAAATGGGAAACCTCAAATCTGAAAAAGTAAAAAAAGATACAGGTATAGAGAGAACTATGCCAAGAACAGAAAGTACTGGCTCTTCTCTTTGGTTCATAGGTTTGAGACAAATGCATAAGATATTAAAACTGCATATGCCTCTCCATAAAACCAGTAAAGGTAACAGAAACCCTTTTGAGGCTTCCAGTTTGGGGTGGTATATTTAAGTTTGAAAAACTTGAGATCTTTGGTTATGGGTTTGGGTGGAGAAAGGTAACAGGCAAAGATTCCCTGAAGAGAGCTGTGGTCCTTGTGAGGCCCTCTTGTTCCTGATATACCTTTTGCACAAACTTCGTATGAACTGTGTTTTCCATGCCCCTTTTGGAATGTGTCAGTGCCTATGCTTGCCCTATTTTCCTTAACTTTATTTTCTCACCAGAATGTCCCTCTTCCAGTGGAAAGCCCAATCACGCAGACATCCTGCTTATAAACTTACAGTATGTTTCAGAAGTGGAAATAATTAATGACCGAACAGAAACCCCTCCTCCCCTAGCTTCACTCAATGTTAGTAAGGTAAGGACTCAAAGGCAGGTCTGGCTTTCCAAAATGGTGGGAAAGATGAGTCTCATTGACACTTGGTGATACGTACATTGTTGTCTATTTTTCATTTATATATTGATTTACACTTGCTTGTTCTGATACCCGTTTAAAAAATATATCTGTTTAATTTTTGTCTTTATTCCTTGATCTCTTCAGCAGATCTTTAATATCTTGATGCCTAAATACTTGAGAACTTGCCTTGTCCTTTTTTTTTTTTTTTTTTTT